GGTTCGAACCAACCACAAATGATTTCGATGAGACAGCATAGTTCCTCATGTGTGCGAACCTGTCCAGGCAGTGTGCATTTGGAAGAATCCAGCGCTGATATTTTTGTCCGAGCACGTCAATGCATCGTGGCTGGTGCTTGAACCACCAGGATTGACTCCTGAATTCAAGCTACCGGCTTGTGGAGAACTGTTGGTATTCTCAGGCTTGAAACTTCTTCAAGCATACTGATTTTGACCAGAATCGGCCCATTAAGTTCTATTAGTGCCTAACCTTACTGGACATCCATTATTCCATTATTATTATTATTATTATTATTATTTTAATCCATTAAAATTGGAACAATTTGGAGAAGATTTGCATGGCCCCTACCCAAGGATGAGACACATAAATAGAGAAATTGACAAATTGTCCAAATTGAAGGAAAAAAAAAAGAAAAGTTCTATTAGGGCCTGAAAAGTGCTGATTGTTAAAAAAGAAAGAAGAAGAAGAAGAAAAAAAAAGCGCTGATTGTTAGGGACTCAGACATTTGCTGACCGTGTCTGAACCTCAGACCCTATAAGTCTGAAGGTTGGCTTTCCTATTGTCACCAGACAGTTTCTAGTAATTTCCTATCCAGCGACAGCGGCATCGATTACTTCCAAATTATGGAAGGTTTTACCACCTTTATGCCACTGGTCTCCCCAAAGTGACATCTTGTATCAGCTGCGTTGTGGTCCGGTGAGTCAGAGAGAAAACGTTTCCTGCAAACATACAATGCCCGAGAGGCCTCTGCAATGAATTGCAGATCCTAGTGGTCTCTACATTAACTACTTTGTGGTTTTCTCTAGTTTTGAGACTTCCGGGGCCTCTGCAATGATTTGCAGATCCTAGTGGGCTGTACACTAACTCCTTTGTTGTTTCGGGGCTTGATCCCTGGAGCTGTCCCTCGCAGGGGCTTTGCCTTGTTCAGGTAGATTCTAGGCCTGTTGCCTTTTGTTTGCTCTGTTTGTCCTTTTTCCCTAGCTCCAGTCTAGATACGGTCTGGCCTAGGAGAGCAGTCCTACTAGGTCGTGTCTGTTTGTAGGTAGGCCGTAGGGTCCGTCTAGGTCGTGCTACAAAAGTGCAGCGTTGGAAGTGAGTCGCGTTCTTCGGTTCTTTTTTTTTTTCACAAAGTATGGGAAAGGTCGCGTTGTGCTGTTGCTGCACTATCTTCAGCGCAAACGTCTTCTTCCTGGTTGAGCGTCGGCGGCCATATCTGACCTGTACTTGCAGCGCTGGACTCCAGGGGTGTGGACGCCTCTTTTTATTGGTTCTGTTGGGGGTTGACAGGGCTGCCATCGAAGCCCTCCGTCGAAGTGCTCTTCAAAGTGCCATCCACCTTCTCCTTCATCAAGTTGGTGTTCTTCTTGTCCATCCTAGGAGCTGCGTTCCCCTGCCGAGCGGACACTTCATTTGCAGTGGGATTCGTGGTTTCATAAAGTGTCGTGTTGAGTTCAGGAGGGTGTGTGGCGATTGGTGGGCTGGACTGGTTGGACGCTGCAGTGGCATTGACACCGTAGCTAGGCTTGAGGTGGGAGGAGGAAGAAGTCTCCCTCATTAGATGAAACTCTGTAAGTAATTGGTTTGTGGATGTTATAACATGGTTGGGATCCTAGATAATTTCGTGTTGCTGATTGAGTTGGGGAGAGATGGTGATAATAAGAATTGAATTAACTTCAATTCTATTTCGGTCTTGTGAGCTTCCGTAGTGTATTCTCATCATATGGTTTGGTGTGGATTGCTCTCTTCAAGTCTACTTGTCGTTGCATATGGGAACGTGTGAATTCCATGCTGGGTTCGTTTTCAATCAGGCACATAACACCTCTGTAGTACCACCCCAGGTAAATTCCATGCTGGATTCTCTCCAAGCCTACTTGTCATTTCACGTGTGTGGGAACTTGTGAAATTGCATGACGACTTTGTTTTCAACCAGGCACATAACAGCTCTATAGTACCACCCCAGGTAGTTCATAAGGTTATCCCACTTGTGTAATGACCCGCCCAAAACACAGACTGAGAACACTGCTGATTTCTGGGATTTGTCAATGGAATGAATGCCTTGTTGTGATTCCCGCATTCTGCTGTGGTCCCAAGTCTGTGTGTGTGCGTGCCCGCTGGTTTGCATGCCTGTCTGAGTGCTTGCCGGTTGTGTGTGTGTGCGTGCCTGCTGGGTTGCATGCCTGTCTGAGTGCTTGCTGGTTGGGTATGTGTGTGACCCGCCAGGGTACTTGTTGGTTGCAAGGCCCACCGGGCCGGTACTTACCTGTGGCCGTGACTTTGAAAGGTTGCAGGGGGGTAAACATGCCGGTAGCGGGGAGTAGGCCCACGGCACTTAGAGCAGCTGGGGAAAAACACTCAAGTAGCAGGTAGGCCGAGCAGAAGAAGACAAAAAGTTGGCATTTTTAGAGGCCCAGTAGCGGTAGGTTAGAGGTAGGCCGGTACCAGTCCAAGTAGCCCGGGTCTAGGGCCTGTGCGGACAATAACAGAGCCTGCAATGATGTTTCCCTCCAAAAGGGAGGAGGTACCGGCTGCTGGGAGGCCGCTTGGCCTAGGAAGTCACCGCCCAGGAGGCCGGTAGGCCGCTATATCTTCAGGAAGAGCGGTGAGCTCTTCCTCATTTGCGGTATGCAAGGATTGGCGACATGCTGCTGGAGCGCAGCGCTGGACTGAAGCAGCGCTGCTTGGAGGTGAAGGTCCGCTGGGGCTCAGCCTGGCTATGGCGAGCACCCCAGCTTGAGGAGGAGGAAGAAGGGGGCATGGTAGGAGTGGTAGGGCACTTACCTGGCTATGGTGGACACCGTCTTCATCACCTTGTTGGGCGCTGCATCTGGAAGGCCCCAGTTGGGGTAGCGCTGCACCAGCGCAGCTCAAGGCAGAGTCAGGCATAGCGGACCAAGTCAAGCAGCGGCATAGCTGCTTTGGGTTGTCTTGGGACATCAGCGCAGCATCATAGCTGCCTCCCGGTAGTCCGCCATGGCCTATGCATGAGAGAGGAGGATGAAGGAGGGAAGCCATGGCCATGGTGGACTTTCTTGTTGTTGTTGTTGTTGTGAGTTGAGTCAGCAGTAAGGGGGAACTTCGGACATTGATTCTGGTTCATCCATTCATTGTTATTATTATTATTGAGAGAAGAATAAGATTGGTGAAGAGRAGGAGGAAGGAGGAASGTGGAGAGAGAAGGGGGAATTGTCATTGGTCTTGCTGGTATACTTCTTCTTCTTCTTCTTCTTCTTCAACTCTCCTCTGGTCTTTATCTCTTTGCAAGTGCTTTCATTTCTTTCGCAATTGAGTGGCATTGTCTTTCATTGTGAATTTGCACTTGGGAAATGACCAGGATCGTAACACTTGTATGTATTAGCTAGGACCGTGACTAGTCTATTGCTGTTCCGTGACATCACTGTTAACTATGGAGTCCTCGGTCTCCTCCCCCCTCTTCCCCCCCCCTCAAAGGCAGGTTCTTATGGATCCGGGGCTCTGGGTCTGACCTTGAAGTGCCTGGCCCACCATGGATTCTGTGCTACTTGGGGCCTGTGATTCTTTGATGCCATGGGAGAATACCTGTGAAGTTGTGAACCTATGAACTGCCTTGGTGGCAAGTGTAGTTTAGTTGGGAGAGGCATTGTGCAGTTTTACCCTTGTGCTGCTGTTTCCAATTTTTCTACCAACTGCACCTCCTTGCCTGAGAACACTCTATGGCACCCTGCAAATTTTTGTTTTTTTTTGTTTTTTGGGTCCAGAACCCCAAATCACCCCATTGACACCCCCATAGCCCCCCCCATAGCCCCCCCCAACACCCCGTACAACCCCCCTGTGACTCCCCTATACCTCCCCCTGTAACCCCCACCACCCCGATAAAAAAATATTGCGGATTTGGGCTGCTCTCCTCAAGCCGCGCACAACCATGTAATCAGAAAAAAAAATAAAAATGGCAAGGCAGTCTGCCGACCGCTGATGGGTCTGCCTATGCGTCGGCCCGACTGGTAGGCGCGCCTACCGCCTACGGTAGGTGTCGGCGGTAGGCGCCAAAAGTACCCTGCTGTTAGGCTTAATTGTCCCTGCAATTGGTCACCTTTTTATTTGCAGGTTCGAGTTTGTCACATTTTCACTCTTTGTTTGTTGTTTCTGGAGCAGGCTGTAACATCACGGGAACTGGTGAACATTGTAGAAGGACAACCTGCAATTCTTCCTCGCATGATTCGAGGACTCATTGCAAATAGGACTGGTACGGCGCCACGCACATCGCCAGTCCACACTGAGAAGACAGGTGTTCAGACCCCTGACAACAGGACGACTGGACACGGTGAGGATAAATCTGTTCTGGAGGAGCTGGCATGGCGAATGGTGGACAGAAAGGAGGGCCTGCGGAGAAGTGGTGCGTTCTCTGGTGCAGAAGCATGCGCATGGCTTGTCAAGAATTGTGAAGATGTGGTGTGTCATCTGTATACCTTTCCTCCTCTATCTTCGCTAACCTCTCTCACTTCTCCCAATTCTCTCCCTTCTCACTTCACCTCTCTCACCGCTCTCGGTTCCGTTGCACTTGACGCTTCTGTCACTTCTGTCGCCTGTTGCAACTTACTTGGACTTCCCCTTCTCTATTCCTGTTTATCCTTCTCCTGTCTTGCTTTCCCCTCCTCCGTCCTCGTTGCCGTCGCACTTCCTGCTGCACTCCTCTCCTCCCTCTGTTCTCTACTGTTGTGGAATGTTCTGCAGGCATTAGCCAAGAGAATGTGAAGTTTAGTGGGACGATTTCTTGGAGAAAGGCGTATCCCAAGGGCTCAGCAAAGGCAGACCCTTCTAGTGTTTAAACTTCAAACTCACTCTAAACTGCAGCTGCTCTCAAAACACAAAATCCCTTCCTAGCAGGATTAGGCATGCTTCACCCAGCCCATGTGTGGATGAATTGTACGGACATGTAACTGTGAGTAAACAGATCATGAGTTCAATCCTGGTTGAAAATAGATTCATACAACAATGTTAGTCGCTAAGCCCCTTTTTTGGAAAACAAAAAAAGGATTAGGTTTGTTTCCGCAGCATGTTAATGTCACCAGGCCTAGGCTCCCTCAGTGATGCTCGCCGAGGAGTCGTCGCTTCACAGTAAGGATAGTGAACTGTATTGAGAATCCGGTGTGCGATGCCACTCGATTGTGTGAACTGCTTAGGAGGTCGTCTTGGATCTCAACTGGAATGCAATACTCCCGTCGCTGCTCAACGCCGCACTCAGCAGATGTACCAACCTGCGATATGACAGCATCCTTGAACTACCACTATGTCAGAGGCTGTCTTTTCTGACCCGAATCAAGCTGCGTGCCAAAAAAAAAACGAACCGACCCGAATCAAGCTGGAGAGAGAGAGAGAGAGAGAGAGAGAGAGAGAGAGAGAGAGAGAGAGAGAGAGAGAGAGAGAGAGAGAGAGAGAGAGAATTAGTGGCAAGAGGAAGAAAATCGACCTGTGGCGTGCGTTTTTGTTTTTTGTTGTTTCTCTTCGAGGGTTGGGAATATCTGCATGTGTGTGTGTGCGTGTGTGTGTGTGGGGGACAGAGAGAGAGGGAGAGAGAGAGAGAGAGAGAGAGAGAGAGAGAGAGAGAGAGAGAGAGAGAGAGAGAGAGAGAGAGAGAGAGAGCTGTCTCTTATACACATCTAGATGTGTATAAGAGACAGGAGAGAGAGAGAGAGAGAGAGAGAGAGAGAGAGAGAGAGTTCTTTTACCCTGCTTTTTCAGCCGTAAAGACAGCAGTAAGAGGGGTGAGCAGAGCGGGGGAAAGAGGGTGGGGCAGGTGGGAAAGGGGGTGGGGAAGGCTGTTGAAAGCACATGAGAGGGGATCGTCGAAACGGGATGGAGTAACGAAATGGCAATAGGGGCAGAGGGGAGGAGAGGCACAAAGAGGGTGGGATCTAACACGAAAATATTGGTAGCGGGGAAGAGGGGATTAAGAAGGGGCTGGGAGCAACGCTGAAATAGATAGAGAAGGGGAGAGGGGGGATCCTCTGGGGAGGAAGGTGAGAAATTGGAGAATGTGGCGATAGAGGGGAAAGGGACAAAAAGTCTCACAGCCTAGGCTACCAGAGTGGCCCGGGACCACTTGCCCGGTCGGGCCCAAATTTATTTATTTATTTTTTAATTTTAATTTAGTTTAAACTGTAAACTTGGTAAAGAATTTCGATGTGACCCTGAGGCAAAAGTTGCTCAGTTTATTTAGCTGCATAACATAGTTTTTTTTCTGTGTTTTTTTTTTTTTTTTTTTTTTTTTTGCTGGGACCTTTCTTTGTCCTTGCACGCCCGGACCGCCCGGGAAAACAGAGTGACCCGGGCAGCCCGGCTGGTAGCCTAGCTCACAGCCCAAAGTTCTCACCTTCTTCACCCAGAGGATCCCCCCTCTCCAATTTCTCACCTTCCTCACCCAGAGGATGCCCCCTCGCTATCGCAACTTTTTCCCACTCTGCTAGTTCCCCCTGCCCCAAGCATTTGGACTTTTTGTCCCCTCCCCACTCTGCCTCCCACTTCCCCTCTAGCACCCAGAGGATCCCCCTTCACCTGGAGGCAGAGTGGGGAGGGGACAGAAAGTCCAAATGCTTGGGG